TTCAAGACACGGCTCCATTCCGGAAGCTATACCTAGACATTGTATCAATGGCCGTGAAAGCCTCAAATCTAGTAGATGTCATCTATATTGCAGATGATCAAATGGCATGATGCAGTTATTATTATCTTATCATTATTCTTCCTGTTCACCGATGATAGTCGTACCATTTGTTTTTATTATTTCATAAGAAACGGTCAGTGACAAATTACATTCTTGGTCGCGAAGTTGTGCGCTATCTGGTCGCCTGTACGTATAACAGAGAATCTCGCGTCCTGCAGATCTTTGTACTGTTTCACACATCCTCTCGTTGTTTCTAGTTAAAACTTGTAAGACAAGGCGATCAGGATCAACGTAATGCATCGCTTCACCGTCGACTCGCTGATGATGCTTCAGATACGCAACATCATTGTACGTCCTCGCAGTGCCGATGGAAACCAATGGACGCAATGTCTCGTCGCGCTCCTAATGAATTTCCTATTAATCTGCAATTTCGCAGTTGTATTCGCCTATAATATCGACATGATTCACCCAATAATATATCCGAGCAGCGCGACCAATCTGCACCAATATTTCACCACGAAATTCACGCGCGGTTATTTCGGCTATTCGGTGCTGCTGCATCGTGACTCATATCGGAACTCCATGTGGTAATGTGGTAATGTGGTAATTATTTATTACTTTCAATCATAACCGCATTCAAGTTGTTCTATCCATATAAAAAACTACATTTATATCAAAGTAAGAAATGCGGTTAATGAGGTTTGCGGCGATTGTGTTATCATCATCCTTCCTGTTCACCGATGACACAGTCGTGCCGTTTCATTAGAACTGGTTGATGACAAATCATACTATTGCTCGCGAAGTCGTGAGCTATGTGGTCGCACATACATCACATACATCACAGAGAGAGTTCATCCCGCGTCCTGCACATTTCTGTACTATTTCACGCATCATCGTCGTGTGTTTTCAGTTAAAACTCGTGAGACAAGACGGACAGGATCAACGTAGTGCGCGTGGTTTCAACGTCAATTCGCCGATGTGATGACGCTTCAAATGTGTGACGTCGTTGTTCGTTCTCGCAGTGCCGACGGAAACTCGTGGATCCGATCTCTCATCCCGTCCCTAATGAATTTCCTATTGATCTGCAATTTTGCAGCAGTGTCCGCCTACAATGTCGACACGATACACCCGATAATATATCCGAACAGCGCGACCAATCTGCACCAATATCTCACGACGAAATTCGCGCGCGGTTACTTCGGCTATTCGGTGCTGCTGCACCGTGACTCACAGAGCAATTCCGCATGGTAATGTGCACTACTTCATTTATTTACGTAACGATGAAACATCTTGCATGTACGATACTAGACGGTGGGCTTGAGTCATAAGTGACTTCCGTCGCGCATAGTAAATATTTACTTCCTTATGGAAGAAAGAAAAGAGTTGGAAAGATTCGCTCTTTCGGCATAGAAAATATCTCTCATCCCGCTCCTAATGAATTTCCTATTGATCTGCAATTTTGCAGCAGTGTCTTACAACGTCGACACGATATATCCGATAATATATCCGAACAGCGCGACCAATCTGCACCAATCAGCGTCGTTATCATTCCTCTTCGCGTTTCTTCAGCGCGCGCGTTTGTGTGAAGTAAAAAAAAATATAAAGTACACAGACTTTTTTTTTATATATATTTATCAACAGATATTTTTCAGAATTCTATATTCTACACACAACCATATAAGAAATAATATTTTATAACATTTTGTATAACTGATCTTTTTATATCTCTATAACAAAAATATATATTTTTTACTATAGATTATAGAGAGAAATTTATATTATAGATTATAGAAAGAAATTTATATTTTTTATATTATAGATTATAGAAAGATAGAAATATATATTATAAATATATATTTTATTATGGATATTTATCTGATGAAAATCTATGTTTTTCAGTATATGTAAGGATGCAAAAATAAATAGCCCGTGTTCGATAACAATGTGTGTTTCTTTTTTTAATAGGCTGTTCGTGGGCGCACCTCGTGGAAATTATACTAAGCCGACACGCAGACAGTTGCAATATATAACTGAGCCCGGTGTGGTTTACCGGTGCGCTTTGCCGGGTCCATGCGTGGAGATCGAGCCGGCTGTTTTCGAGGATGAATATGCACCCGTGTACAATTTACAAGGTCGTATAATGAAGGAGCACTCGTGGTTCGGCGGTGCGATGTCGATCGAGAGGAACAGTGGCTTCTTGACGGTATACGCGAGTTCGGAAAGGTTTTGCGAACTTAGGGGGGTATTCTAGTGTGAAGACCTGATTTTCAAAGCGATTTTTAGGAATTAATTTTAAGAAAATGGTTAAGACCTACAGAGTTAATGTTTTGTATTGACATTTACTCATCTTTGAAGAAACATCTCAAATTTTATCAAAGCTTTTTATTCCAAATTGGAGAAAATATAAGTGGACGAAACAGGTCACGCCGTAAAATCGCCTTCCATCGGGCGTGTTGATTGCCGTCGTCCTCGTCATCTGAGATAAACAAATTTGCTTTTATTTTGTTCTTTATGTGGTTGTCTAAATTAGAATTAAATAATTTGGAGAAAAATTGACAAAATCGCGGCGCATGAAAAATAGTAGTTTGATTTTTACTAAAAAATTCGAACTTTTCGCGGTTTGGAATAATAATTTTAAAGATATCAAAAAGATTCTAGTTCAGGCGATAGCCACATTCGTAAAGAACAAAATAAAAGTAAATTCGTTTATTTCAGACGACGAGAACGGCGGCAATCAATAAGTCCAATGAAAGACGGCGTGATCTGTTTTGTCCATTTGTATTTTCTCCAATTTTGAATAAAAAACTTTGACAAAATTTGAGATATTTTTTCAAAGATGAACAAATGTCAGTACAAAACATTAACTCTGTAGGTTTAACCATTTGCTTAAAATTAATTCCCAAAAGTCGGGTCTTGAAAACGGATCTTCATACTAGAATATCCAGACAGCACACAATATTTACAAAATATTTTAGAAATATAGATATTAAATATTTTATAAATATTCAAATGTTCGAAATTTTCAGATATAAAGAAGATTATAATAAATACTTAAAAAAAAATATATATATATATTTATAAAAAACATTTTTCACAAATACTTTTATGAAAAAGATTATGAAAGAAATTTATAAAAGATTTATGATAAATATTTTTCATAAATATTTTTAAATATTTATCATAATCTTTTTCATTTCTTATGAAAATCTGGGACATTAGAATATTTATAAAATATTTAATATCTATATTTCTAAAATATTTTGTAAATATTGTGTGCTGTGTGAGTATTCCCTTAACGATATCGTATCTGGCGGCATTCGACCAATCGTTTATTTTATTGCAGATATGCGCACCTCGAACGATTATGAGTATTTTGAGATATAGCGGCGCTGAATCGTACACTATGCACGGCATGTGCTATAACAGTCAGGTGTTCTGGAACACAACGGTGGACACGGATAGATCGTATATCGAACGTTATGGTACACACAATTTGGAGAAATAGCCTTTACATTTTATAACTCTAGTTACAAACGAATTTTTTAATTACGTGCAATATGTGCATATATTTGTAAATCATGTTAATTATTTCATGGGAGCGACTCCGTTAAAGTAATCAACAAAATCGTGATGCACAAATATGTGCACACGTTGCGCGTAATTGAAGAATTCGTTTTTGTAAAATGTCAAGGGGTTATTATCTCGGATTGTGTACATTTTGTTTTGTTTTGATGAACGAACATGTGGCAATCCTTACGGAAAAAAACTATGGGAATACGAAAAAATTACTGCCATACTATTGAAGAACTACAATTTTTCAATAATGTGTCAGTAGTTTTTTCGTATTCTTGTAGTTTTTTTCGCAAAAGAAAAGTAATGCTATCCTCGTCTATAGTAATTTGGTCGCTTAAGACAGCCATAGAGAATTCGAATTAGGATAAGAATGTTAACATTAATTTCGTTAGATTTTACGAAGGAATGGTGGTATGATCCAATGCATGGTTTCTCCATCACCTATGCGCCGTCGCAAGTACGTTATATATAATGATACATATAATTATATAAAACTTTATCTTTCATTTCTTCTTTAAAATTCTCTTATCCCCAGTTTTACGTATCTTTATCGATGGTTCATCTCTCATTACTTATACCATACTGAAAGCAATATAATAAGAAACGTTCCCTTCTAAAGACTTTTGAAAGCAATATAATAAGAAACGTTCCCTTCTAAAGACTTCAACGATTTATTAATGAGATCAATTTCAGAATGAATACGCAATCAACCGTGTTATTGGAGCGCCGAATCACGACATAAGCGGTTCCGTCACTATGGTGCAACTCGCGAGACCGAAATTTGAAAATGAGAACTACAGAATGACCACGGATACACCGATATGGGACATTATGTCGCGATTTGGTACGAGATTTCAATATTATACGCAATGAGACGTATTATACGCAATAAATCGTAAAAATAAAGTGTAGTAATACAAGGGTATTTCAACAAATTTTGAAATACCTCGTTAATCTATTTCGGAGAGCGCCAATTGTATCAGTAATAATCTTGAAGATGTTGATCGATTTATTTTCATGCTAATTAAGTACACTTTGGTGGTTTAAAATCATTTTAACCGTGTAACTGTGAATCTTCACATTATAGCAATAGTCGTTCATTCAATTACATCAAACCACAGGACTCTCGTTGATTCTCACTTTATTGCTAATTCTGTAAAAGTGTCAGAAAGTACACGAGAATCGGCGAACTTAGTGAAAGTAGAATAAAGTGTAGTAATCCAGCCAGAAATGATTCGTTGATCGATGTCGAAACGATGTCGAATCGACATTGAAATCGTGAAGTCGACATCGATTCGACATCGTCTCGACATCGATTGACGAATCATTTCTAGGAATACGAGAGTATTTCAAAATCGGTAGGAAATGCACCCTTGAGAACTGATATGATGCTCTGAATTGTAGGCTATTCAACAACCGCGGGATATTACTTCAACCGAACTAGATTCTTTTACGCCTCCGGAGATCCATCGTGGAACCACATAGGACAGGTAAACTATCCAATTTACTTTACTCCAGAACAAGACACGTTGCAGAGTTTCGCACGGCAGAGCATCAAGTGTGTGTTTAACGCCTCACAATCGCAGGTAGTCGTGCTCGAACCGAAAAGAGATCCGCTCATGGTTACGAATCTCCACGGCAGCGACATCGGCGAATATTTCGGCGCGAGTTTGGCCACCGGCGATTTAAACAGAGACGGCTTGGACGACCTCGTCGTCGGAGCGCCACATTGGAAAAACGATAACGGCAGGATTCACATATACTTGGGTACATCCGAGGTGAGTCGCTGCCGAATCCCAGAAGTTCGCCGATTCTCGTGTATTTTCTGACACTCACAGAATTAGCAATAAAGTGAAAATCAACGAGAGCCCTGTGGTTTGATGTAATTGAATGAACGACTATTGCTACAATGTGAAGATTCACAGGCTGCGTTCGGGGAAACTATATTTAGCGCTATAAGCGTCCTCTATCCTTGTTCAACTTTCAGGAACAAACAAGGACAGAGCACACTCATAGCGCTAGCGTCTGCCCGAACGCAGCCACAGTTACACGGTTAAAATGATTTTAAATTGCCAAAGTATACTTAATTAGCGTGAAAAAAAATCGATCAACATCTCCAAGATTATTACTGATGCAATTGGCGGTCTCCGGAATAGATTAACGAGGTATTTCAAAATTTGTTTAAAGCAGGAACATTTCGACAAGTCGGTGATTTTAGAAGGCGTCTATGAGGATGCGCAGTTCGGCTACGCGGTGGCGTGCGGCGATCTAGACGGAGATGGTTTCAGTGGTAATTAATACTGTGCAGAGAGTTAAGACTCGAAAACGTCCGTGAAGAGTCCGTAAACACTCAGCAACGTTGCGCTCGTTGGATTTTAGACATCATAGTGGGCGCACCTTGGGAGGAGTCCGGTGCAATTTACATATACAACGGCGGCGAGAGTTTGAAGGACAACGTGAAACCTACCGCGTCGCAAAGGATCACGATACAATCATCCGCTCATAGTCTCCCGACGCTGGACATACGGACCTTCGGATTCTCGATAGCTGAACCGATCGACGTCGATGCCAATGGGTCGATATTTACAAATAATTAAGTTATATCGAATCACTCGAAACGATATTTGTTTTTACCGTGCCACGCGCATAATTTGAATTTTTCGTTCGATTGCAAGCGCTCCTTTTTTCAGAGTCAAAAATATGAGACAACTTATCTATGTTCATATTTTTTATAGGTACGTAGACATCGCGGTAGGCGCGTACAAATCAGGACATGCTGTGATATTACGAAGCAGACCGGTCGTAAGAACGAGCTTGACCGTTCGTACCGTACCGGACATTTTGCAGAGGAACGTCAGCAACTTTTTCGTCGAAGTGTGCGTTCAATATCGCGACTATGATGCAGCGAGAGCCTATGGTGAGTCACTAAGAGTTATAATTGGTTGATATAAAAATATAAATATAAATATGAATTTATATATATATATATATATATATATATATATATATATATATATATATATATAAATATATATATATATATATATTTTTATATTAATAATATATATATA